CGTGTTAGCGTCTGAAGAGGAAGCGCCGCCATGGAGTGAAAAACAAAACTTTTTGAAATTTTAGCAAGATAACGTAATAGACTCAGTGACACTAGCCATCTTATTTGTAAGGATGTTCGTGCTTTCAGAGAGACTAATATATGAATGAGAGCTTAGGTATGAAGTTAGCCAGACAGTGTGATCTTGGACAATGTCTTATAACTTCTTTGATTTTTGATCTTTATGAGGTAAAATTTTTTTACATTAAAAAATAATTTTATATTTATTTTTGGCTGTGCTGGGTCTTACTGCTGTGTGGGCTTTTCTCTAGTTGTGGTGCATGGGCTTCTCATGACAGGAGATTCTTTTTTTGTGGAGCACAGGCTCTAGGGTGTGGACTCAGTTGTTGTGGCTCCTGGGGTCTAGAACACAGACCCAATTGTTGTGGCACATGGGCTTAGGTGCTCCAAGACAGGCAGATGGGATGTTTCCAGATCGGGGATTGAACCCATGTCTTCTTCATTGGCAGGTGGGTTCTTTATCGCTGAGCCACCAGGGAAGCCCCTTTAAGAGATACATTTCAACAGTGCCTGCTTCATAGGGTTCTTAGGAAAAATCAGTAATTCACATAAAAGTCTCAGCACGTGCTGAGACAAAGGGCTTCTAGCAAATGTTAGCTGCCTTTGTGTTGTTATCCTGGCTGGACACAGATTCAGAGTATGGAGGGGTTTCAGTGTTTTCTGGGCTGTGGTGAATTAAACGAAGCCATCAGCTCTAATTGTCAAGGCCATCAGCCCTGATTCTGCGTTTGAAAATGGTCCACGGTTAAAGCAATTGATGGTGGCTTTTCAAAACTCTCCCAGACCTTTAACCTCCGTTGCTAAGGATGTATTTGGCCTCTCAGATAGTTGCATAGAGACTGTGTGAATTTAGTCTTTGTGCCTAAGGGAAACTCTGACAGATAGCAAAAATTCCTAGCAGATGGTTGGATCAACTATTTCAGATAGTTCAGATAAAATGTCACTGAATTATCTGGAAATCTACTCCAATCCTTTGCCAAGTAGGGTTGGTGAAGTAGTCTATGAAGTGTGTATGGCTTGGTGGTTTTAGTCAGTTTCAGTTACAAACTATGGTTTCCTTCCAGCCAGGATGTAATATTCCTTAGTGAAATTATGTCTGTGCAAAGAGGAAAGATAGGCGAGACTTGTTTGTGAGGATGGAGTCCTCTTCGGGCATAATCCTAGCATGGCGTACCTTGCATTGGATCATTCAGACAAAGGCTTTGCTTAGCCACTTCATTTGGCCGTCAGGGTGTTGCTGTGAAGGCTGCTTCTAGTATCCTTGTGGCCAGGGCCATCAAAAGCCGGAAATTGTGACAGGAACTGTCTTGTAGGACAACATTTAAAGTTCTGACTAATAAACTTGGGTGGCAGAAGAAAGTTGTATTTGACAAAAAATATTAACTGTTCAAAATATTCACTTATTGAGGTCCACAAAGTAGATACTATTATCCTCGCTTTACAGATGAGTGGAGGAGCCAGGATTCAAACCAGTCAATCTAACAATTGCATTGTGTGACTGATTCATCCATAAAGAAATCACGAGACCCTAGGCATGGGATCGGAAAGCAATTGCTTCTGTTTCCCACTGGAAACCTTTCTGTGAGGGGTTAAACCAAATGTAAATGACAAAATAAAGGATGAGTTTAATGGTTTGTTTACTTTTTAGGTTTCATTAAGCACCTCAAATGGTGGCCTGTTGAGCAGCTAGCTAAAATAAGGCATTTATTTTAATTTGCTTTTCTGTCATTCAACTTGCATGTCTTTGGAAGATTGGAAGTGCTAAAAAATCAGTTCAAGTGGAGATGGTATATATTAACCCGTTCTTAACCTATTTATTGAGAAGAAATCTGTTTGTGTATTTAAAAGAAAAATAATCCTTTTCATCAACAATAAGAATTTATTACTGTGCATTAAAATAAATCTTTAGATCTCAAGTTAGTTTCCTTTAATGTTTTCTGTTTATTCTGAAAGCTCTTATTAATTGGAGAAATTCACAGAATACCAATGTTAGACAATCACAAATGTTTTAGAATTTAATAAACATCTGTTGAGAGTGTAATATATGCAAGCCATAGTACGAAGAGCTGGGAGAGGTTAAAAATATATAATTTTAAAATAAGGCCTCTGCTTTGAAGGATTTTGTTTTCTAGTAGAGGCAGCAACACAGACATGTAAATAAGCGATAAAAAATAAAATGCAGGTAGGAGGGGCTTTGAGAGCTTCTGGCTGGAAATCAGAGAGATTGCATGAAGGGCATAATTTCTAGCTCCATGAAGCAGATGCTATCCCCCTTATTTTGTTTTTCCAGATTTTAGCCCAGTATCTGGCACATAATAGAATTGTTAAATTCAGTGATTTTAAAATAAATAAGTTGGCCCTAGATGGTCAAGTATGTAAGGAAAAATGAGAACACATAATCCTCAATCCAGCTTGATTCAGCAAATATCAGTTGTCATATACTCTGGGTGGGGCCCTTTGCTGGGTGGGAAGAACAGCCAGTGCCAAAGCATGGAGACAGGGAAGCTGGGTGCAAAGTCCATGAAGTGCTTGGCATTCCTGGGTGCGGCGGGTGTGGGAGATAAGGCCAGAAGAGCAACTAGGGACCAACATTTAAAAGATCTTGATGGTGAGGTTTTGAGGAGAAAGATCCCCAAATGTCTATATTATATTGTCTGTATTTTTACTTCTCTTAAGCAAATATTGGTTGCTAGCTGATCGTGTTCATTTTACTAATATAAAAAAAATGACTAGTTAGATTTAATAATACCAATTGATTCATTTTAGATATATTGTAGTATGCTAGAACCTGGGCTTGTTATTTGTTTCTGTATGTTTCCAAACCACATAAGCAGTCTAAAGCACTAGAAAAAATGTCTTGTTTGTGTTTGACAAGGAGCCAGTCCTAAAATGATGTTTGGACACATAGACCAGACTAATTCTGTTGCAAAAGCTCATTTCTAAACATTCACAGAATTTACAGATCTGACTGTCCTGAAGGGTTTTAATCCTAGCTCTTTCTTAAAATAGCTGTAGCCCTGGGACATTTTGCTTCATTTACCCAGCATATGCAAACAGCATGTACATCTCTATACCTACATCTACGCCTCTTCAGCTACCACACAGTACAGGGTAGAGCAGAAAGAGAGGAGAAGTTCTTTGAACTTTGGCCTCTGGCAGATCTGGTTGGCAACAAGGCAATATTACTTCCTAGCTGTGTCTTTAGGTGAATGGCTTAACTTTGAACTTCAGTTTCCTCGTGTATAAAACAAGGGTAACATTTCCTAATTTGTTATGACTGTGAGAAACTCGTAAGAGTGCTCACTTACTATTGAGCAATTGCTATGTATTTTCCATTTGAGTAAACTGAGGCACACAGAGAGATTAAGTAATACCCACGTGGCCACACAGCTAATGAAAGGCTGCACTGGGTTTCTGGTCCAGACTCTCTGACTCAGAGTACACCTTCTGGGCCTCTGTCATTCTGTCTGTAAAGGTCCCTCCACTGATCTACCCTATGTATTGTGCTGGGCTTAGTTGGTCAGTCGTGTCCAACTCTTCACTACCCCATGGACTGTAGCCGGTCAGTCTCCTCTGTCCATGGGATTCTCCAGGCAAGAACACTGGAGTGGGTAGCCATGCCCTTCTTCAGGGGATCTTCCCAACTCAGGTATCGAACCCAGGCCTCCCACATGGCAGGCAGATTGTTTTTTTTAGTATCTGACCCACCAGGGGTGATTCTTAATAAACACTAATTTCTATCTTTATTTCCCAGGACATTTGTGAAGCTAAATTGTTATAGTACTTTGACCTTTCTTAAAGTTCAAATATAAGTATAGGGAATTAAAAATTTTCAGGGTTTAAATTTTTAGATAGTTAGAATTTTATAACAATTTCCCCATGCCGATTATATTAGCAATGTAAGTTCAATGTAGAAAACTTTAAAAGATTTAAAAAAAGAAGTAAAACAAGATCATCTACAATTCCTCGAGGCAATAAAATAATTGGAATTTTAGTGAAGTGAATGCATTCTTCATTTCCTTGTTTTTTTTTGTTGTTTTGTTTTAGCAGTCCAATATTATGATAGGCAACAGTCCTGCTTTATAGACCATGTGGAAAATTTGTCTCAGATCTTAAAATCAGTTAGTCATGAAAAAATAAGAATAGGAAAAAAATCGGTTAGTCATGATGTATCTTAGGGTGAAAGGTATATTTTTTGTGAAATGTGAAGGCACAAGGAAAGAGGAAAAATAATGTTGAGTAGGAGAGAAAAGGGGCAGGGTCTGGATTTTTATTGGGTTGCTTTGGGAGTAATAAATACATTTTTTCCTTTGGTGTATTGTACAGTTAACAGCAAGGTTTAGAAGACCAAAGAGGTGGCTGGTGAGGTTGTTGAATGAAGGATTGGGAACATTCTTGGGTTCTTCCTCCTTGAAGAATCTCATATATTTGCAGCTGTGAATCAGAACCACTAAAATTTTAGCATCTTGTTATTTTGGCGTTTGCGCATCTCCTCCATCCATATAATGAGGGTCTTCATTGCAGCACACGGGGACTTCTCTAGTTGTGGTGCAGAGGCTCACCAGTTGCGGTTTCTCTATTTGCCTCCAGGCACGTGGGCTCTTAGTTCCTCTACTAGGGATTGAACCCTCATCCCCAGCATTAGGAAGGCGGATTCTTAACCACTGGACCACCGGGGAAGTCCCCATTTAAGAATCTTTAAGGGAAAAAGACTGATAAAGTGAAGCGGTAAAGACGGAGTCAGCATAAGCTTGTTTTGGGATATTGACTTGGTACCAGGGAGCTTGGGAATACCAGACTGTTCCACAGAGGAGAGGCTGGCCTTCAAGGATGCCATCCTGCTAGGTTTATAACTGAGTATCGTCCAGTGATCCTTTGTGCTTGGGTAAACATGGTTTAACAGGATGGGAACTAATCAACTTGTCTCCGGTTTATTCACAGGAGTTTGAATAAGGAAAATTATGACAACGCAAGCCCAGCTACACTGCTTCTGTCTCCTCACACTTTACTTGGTAAGAGAAGAGAATTGTTCTTTCTGTATTTAGTGGAATATTTCTAGCCCATATCAGGGAAGCAACAGCTATCATCAGTTAAAAAAAAAGCCTATCAGATTAACTTATTGTGAACAAAGCACACAGCTTACCCCAATGGGCTGCTTTTGATGAAATGGCTGTAAGTTATATGTCTAACTTTCAACCAGGGAGACGTTTTCCCCTCAGCTCTTATAAGCCAATGCCCCTTCACGGGCAAGTGTTAAACAATTCATCTACTCAGTTTTAGACCTTCACATACAGCTCAGGGAATCTGGAAAGAAAAGTATACTGATACATGTGTTAGTCTATGTCCCTTAGTCTTGATTTTATTTATTTTTTTCCTTAACCGTGGTTAAATTACCACCGAAATTAAGAAAAGCATTTTCTCCATTTTTGACTCTGCTCTGCTCTGTACTTTTGTTCCCATATATGGCTTGGACTCTTTTTGGCCAAATTTGCCCTTAGTCACTTGTTGAGCTAACCCTATCGACTCAGGCTTCTAGAAGTTGGAGCTGAGTGGAACGTGGGGAGATCAGCCCAGACCTCAGGTAGATAGAGGGATGCTGTCTTCCCTTTTGTCATGAGGTTCATAAGGGTCATACACTTGCCAGATTTGTTGTGTTATGAAGCAAAATTATGGGGAAGCATTTGCTTTCTCCTTAGAAGGAAGCTACTAGATCCTCTTACCTCTAATCTTGGTTCCTTTCTTTGAAAACCCAAATATAACATTGAATTTCAAGTTCCAGAGAGCCCTTGAGAGTCTACACAGTTCAAAATATTTAGAGTGACATCTAGCCATACTTGTAAACTTGCCAGAGCAGTCCTTTTGAGGGGAAAAGCTGCAATTTGAACCTTATGAGCACTGTGCATCCTTACAGCCTAGGCCTCGAAGCTTGTTCTTAGGACTGCCAAAAAACACCACATGACTTATCTCTTCTTCCTACCTTCTCATATGTGCTTTGATATCTATATTATGGCAGAATGGTGAAATCAGTGCCTAGTTCAAACTTGGCACTGCTGTTGACTGGTGATAAGAACTTGGGTGAGTTACTACACTCTGAACCTCAGCTTTCTGCCTGGTGAAATGGGTCTGACAAGAGGACTTGCCTTGTGTGGCAACTAAATTAGATCATACAAAGCCCTTGGATCAGTGACTGGCACAGTCTAAGGTCTTGATAAATATTAGCTATAATTATTACTACCACATTTTAAATATTCAGTAATTACACTCATATGGACCCTGGCCTCCATGAGGAAGACTGTGTTTTAGTCATCTTTGTAGCCTCAGCACATAGCACAGTGCCAGGAACAAGGTAGAAGTTAAATACATAATTATGGATTCATATTAGGAAACAACAGGGAGCTCTAAGAAAGAGAGAGAAGATTCTATCATGATAATTTAACATTAGCAGGCTCAACAGCTTCTGATCTGAGATGGGGCTATGCATTTTTCTTCCTAGGTAGAGGGTGAAAATAAGTTTTCCTTTTCCTTACTTTCATTTTCCTTACTCTCACCGTAGTGAGGTTTCGACCTGGAATAAGCAATACGGCCCAAACCACTGCTGGCAGCAAGAACGTTGCCTGGGAGACAGCCCCGTGCATAGCTGTCTCTGGGTGAAGGAGGAGGCTGTGACCTGTGGGGTGGGGTCTCAGGGGCATTGGGCGGAGCTGTGTCTCTTCTGCCCCCTCACCCCTACGCCCAGACCTCTCCTGTAAAGACTGCAACTTCACTTGGTGCTTCTTTCTTTCAGCATCAGGCTTTTATCTGGCAGAGGTTATTTATCATTTATTACATACTATAGTGGTTCTCCCGTTCTTTTCTGAGAACTGGTTCTCTTAGGGGATTAGAAACACTGTATGAATATATTGGAAGGGCACTGAAGAGAGGATTTGGGAGCGTGCTGAGTAGGGATGCAGGGAAATCAGGGAGAAGCCAACTCTTTTAGAATTGTGCCTGGGACTCTGCTTCCTGCAGAAGGAAGAAGAGCTTGAAATACTTACTGTGTAACCAACGCAGAGAACTCTTGCCGTAAAGTGCAATGGAGGTGGCTCCTAGGCAGGCAGGCCTGACAACCGTGAGTGTCCTCTGCTGGTCTGGAAGGCCGTGGGGCCACGTGGTGGAGAGTTGGGGCTCGGCGGTCTGGAAGGCCGTGGGGCCACGTGGTGGAGAGTTGGGGCTCAGTGGTCTGGAAGGCAGTGGGGCCACGTGGTGGAGAGTTGGGGCTTGGTAGTCCAGCCCATTGGCACCATTCCACTGTAACACCAACTATCTGTGCCTCTGCTAGGGGATTCTCTTGAGAGACTTCCCTGATATTGATGAGGATCTTAAGAAATGACATGTGTGGAGGGTCTCATTCCATAGCAGGAAACACTCAAAAATAGTTCCATTTGCTTCCTACCTTTCACCTCTTTATGCAAGACGGTGGGTTTTATTCCTCCAACTCCTTCACAAGTTATCCCAGTTCTGGCAGGATGGCTCATTGACTTGTGCATTTTGAAATCTTTATAGCTCAAATGGCCCTGATATGAGAACCCAACCCTACTTTGAACCTTGCCACTGAGACCTCTCCTTTTTTCCTGATAGGTGAGCCAGCTTTTCCACTGAGGAAAAATGCAGGCTTTTTTCCTGGGTGAGAGTGAGGTTTGCCTAACTAATGTAGTTTTCCTGGAGGGGCCGCCACCGGTGTGATCAGCTGAAAGACAGACTGCTTACTGATGTGAGCAGAAAGCTCATGAAATGAATGAAAGTCACTCAGTTGTGTCTGACTCTTTGCGACCCCAAGGAGTATACAGTCCATGGAATTCTCCATTTCAATTCCATTCTCCATGGAATTCTCCAGGCCAGAATACTGGAGTGGGTAGCCTTTCCCTTCTCCAGGGGATCTTCTCAACCCAGGGATCGAACCCAGGTCTCCTGCATTGCAGGTAGATTCTTTACCAGTTGAGCCACAAGACGGACTCCTTACTGATGTGAGCAGAAAGTTGATGAAAGCAGTTTGCTATTAAGCAGCAGCCCCTCAAAAAGTACTGCCCTCATCCTGTATCCACCGCGGTGCCCACTTCTTGTGCCCTGCCTTCCAGAGGGGCCAGTGGAGCTGCAGAAGATGTGGAAAGACACGGGAGGGAAGATGAGCCCTCAGAGGAAGATACACCTTGAAAGGAACTGATGAGCTAGGAGTCTGTATAGTTATTGTGTCAGTTAAGAAGTCCTTTAGCTATGAGCAAATTTACAGTGTCTCCAGTCAACAGGGATTTATTTTTTCGTTAGACAACAAGAATCCTGTAGTGGGCAGTCCTGGGCAGGTTTAGCAGTTCTGTGATGTTATCAGAGACCTGGGCTTCTTTATCTTTGCTCCACCATTATTTGAGCTGGTTTATCCCCCATGGTTTCATGATGGCTGCCACAGCTACAGATAGGGGACCACTGCCTGAACAAGAACAAGGAAAGAGGAAGGGCCATGCCACCCACATCTGTCCTTTTTCATCAGCTCGGTTCAGGTCAGTTCAGTTGCTCAGTCGTGTCCGACTCTTTGTGACCCCACGGACTGCAGTACGCCAGGCCTCCCTGTCCATCACTAACTCCTGGAGTTTACCCAAACTCATGTCCATTGAGTTGGTGATGCCATCCAACCATCTCATCCTCTGTTGTCCCCTTCTCATCAGGAGAACAAAAGCTTGACTAGAAACATCGCCCCACCCACACCCCGACCCAGCAGACTCCACCCTTTGTTTCATGAACCAGAACTGAGTCGCTTGGCCATGATCTTTCCTGCAGAGGAGACTGGGAAAGAGATCACTTGTCTTTCCAAGGGATAGAGGTTGACAATGGCTGCAGGGGCAGCTAACTCTGAAGGGGAGGGAAGTTCCAAATTCCAAAACCTCTGTGTTCTTGTTCGTTACTGCTTTTTTGTTGGACACCCAGATCAACTCAGTCAAGGTTTAATGAGCCATAGTACAAGATCTTTTTCCCCATCATTTCATCCTAATTGTTTTTGGGTTATTTATCGCCAGTGTTTCTGCGGCCAGAGTATACTTGCTCCATATAAAGAAATGGAAAATAAATCTCTTCTCCCCAGTTTTGCTTTCTTTTTTTGGTTTTACCTGTCCAGTTCTCCAAACCATTAACTTCCCATATCATACTAATCTATCCCACCCCTGACTCCCGCCACAGGAGGAGAGTGGAAGGACCGCTCAGGAGGGGCACTGGCATCGGGTGTCGTGCTAGATGCCTCATTCCAGGGGTGCCCACTGTGGTGGGTTTATAGCTGGCGGTCCCTTCCTGCGTGCTGCTCTGCGTTTCCTTCAGTGATCCTCGTTGCGGGGAGACAAAGGGATGGCAGGAACTACTGCTGAATGTGCCCCCTGCACACTCCCCATGCTGCAGATTTCCTGCCAGACTGCCTCAGCCACCTGTGCTCCTTCTAGTGGGTAGTGGGGCTGTGGCTTAGAGCGGCTAAGAGTGGTCTGGAATTGTAGGTTTGAATCCTGCTTCCTGCACTGTGAGCAAATGACTTAACCATTCTGCATCTCAGTCTCATCGCTGGTGAAACAGAGCTAATGATGATAATTTACCCTGTAGGATTGTTAATGTGGTTAAATGTGCTTAGGACAAAGCTCAGCATACACTGATATAGCGAATGTGAGCTCTTTCTGCTGTGTGCTGGGCAAGCATTGTACTGAACAGGTCCACGTATTGTCTCCCCTTACGGATTCAATTGTCTGTGAGGTGCCTGAGCTCTAGCAAGCTGGGGATCTGCCATGGATTTCCTTATAAACCAACAAGAGTGGAATGGAGGGGTTTTAAGAAACTGGTGTCAACCAGGTAGAATTGAATGGCATCGTGGCCTTGTGGGATGACGATCACGTTTTCCTTCAGCTAAAACCTAGTATGTGTGCCATGTCAGCTGCTCATGGGTTCTACCCTGGTCAAGTGACTAACCCTCTGTGAGCCTCATTGAAAGCACGGCAGTGTTAATTTTCCCCCTCAGGCTGATTGCTTGAATCACCTTGAATGAGAAAAGCAATGCTAAGCTGCTGGGAAACCATCTTGACGTAGTGGAGCCTCAACAAATGTGAGAACCCTTCCTGCCTATTTTGATTTGATTTCACTTTTTTTTTTTTTCTGGAGCCATGTTAGAATCTTAGATTTCATATATCACTCCTGGAACCATAAGAAAATCATCAAGTGGCCCATATACATTCATAGTACATGGTGTTGCTAATTTTCTCTTTTTCTTTCATCTTTTAACAGACAACTGGATATGGGCAAGAGGGAAAGTTTAGTGGACCCCTAAAACCCATGACTTTTTCCATTTTTGAAGGCCAAGAACCGAGTCAACTCATATTCCAGGTAAGGGCTACTCTTAGTCCTTGTCATCTTGATTTTGCAGGCTCTCTCCATGGACTTTTACTCCTTTATCTACTGGACACCCTGAAATAAAATAGAGGCCTAGGAGATCTCATTATGGAGAATGGTTTCAGGAGCCAAGAGATGAGCAGCCTCAGTGATACCAGGCATCCTAATTCGGACTTCCTCAGTGGTATCTGGGGTATCCCCCATCCCTGAGGTGGGGACCTTAGGGCCTGCAGACTCCGCCCCTCCGCGGGGGTGGGCAGGGAACCAGTCTTGGAAGGGGGTGGTTATCTGAGTCTTGGTCTGTTCCGTGAGCGGGCTACTTGCTGCGTTTGAAGATGCAAATTCTCTGGATTAGCGCTGGAATAGCCTGCCTTCCTGGAGAAGGAAATGGCAACCCACTCCAGTATTCTTGCCTGGAGAATCCCGTGGACGGAGGAGCCTGGTGGGCTACAGTCTATGGGGTTGCAAAGGGTCGGACACGACTAAGCAACTAACACACACACAGCCTGCCTTCCCCGCTGCCTCCTCTGCGCCCGTCTCTAGGCCTCACCCAGGCATTGGCCGAGACACTGTGGGAGGCAGGCATCTTGTTTACAATCTGAGAGAAGCCTCAGATGGAGGGTGGACGGCAGGGGCTTGAAGGGCAAGAGACTTCAGCTTTAGGAGCACTGAAATAATCCTGGAAACATAATGGAGAGAGGGAGAAAAACATACTACTGCGTTGGTCAGAAACCCCCTGGGGAAGCCTGCTTGGCCCTGGAGTGGTTGAAGAGGCTTTGATGGGCCTTAGGGGGTGCCCATGACCCCCTGCCCCATGCACTGGGGGAGCAGCAGGGTTGCTAAACTACTGTCTGAGGCGGGTATGCCTTCTGTTAAGTTCCCCACACCTCTTTTGTGGACAGTTCCCATCCACAGCGGAGGGCCTGAAAGCGGCCTCTTCCCACCTTCTGTCATTTGGTACCAGATCAGCGCGAAGTGGCCCTATTATGTGAGCTGGTGGGGGTGCACAGTTATCTCTGTGCCCCGCGGTGGGGCGTTGCAGAGGCTTTGACCTCTCCTGTCAGGGGAGTCAGGCCCTGAGGGAGAAGCAAATGCTTTGAGAGCTTGGACAGAAGAGCATTCCAGCAAAGGCACAGCTGGGACACCTGCCCTGCGCCGGGAGAGGGCAGGGCGTGCCTGGGTTCTGGCGGAAGGCCAGTGAGGCCGGGAAGCTGCGGGCCTGGAGAAGGAGGTAGGAGCGGAGGCCGCAGAGAGGGAAGGACCCTGACTTCTAAGGTTCTTAGATTTCCCCCCCAGAGGAGCAGGCCTGAATCAAGTCTCCATTCAGGGCTGCAAAGTGGAGGGAGCTGGAAAACGGGAGAGGATGCCAGGAAACCGGTTGGGAGTCTCCGGCGAGGGCCACTTAGGAGAAGATCTCCTGGTTAACTGACTCTGTCTCCCTCACCAGGGAGCATTTAGTTAGAGATTTCTCATTTACGTTTGGAAAGTCCTTTTCATTTGTGTGTTTTTATGCTTCATAAGTTGGTAAGAATGCTGTGGGCTGGGCACACATTCATCTCCTTTTATGAACTGTGCAGAAAGTGCCTGCTGTTACAAGATGCTGTGCTGGGTCCTGGGGGTGCAGGATGAGACCCACAGCACCCCTGCCCCCAGAGAGCTCTTGGGTAGCAGAAGGAGACTAACCAGAAAGCAAACAGGGCAGTGGCGGGTTTTGACTGGAGTCTGGTGGGCTGCCGGGGGGGCCGAGTGCAGGCGGAGAAAGAGTGGTCGATTTTAAGAGCAGAGGGTAGTCGTTGGACAGAGAAGGTTTCACTGGACCCCTGAACTGAGTATTTAAAGTTGACCAGGCACTCCCCAACAGAAAGCAGGCCTTGAGGACTAGGTGGAAAAAAAATAAGGGGGCATGCATTTAGCAAGAAAATGAAAGATGGCAGGTGGTTTAGGGTGGGAGAGGGTGTGAGGAGAAGGAGAGACTGCTGAGGGCGGGGGTCGGCGTGGGGGTCCAGACTGGCTGTTTAACCTGTGCCAGGCGGCAGGGCCCACTGGGACGTTAAGGAAGGGGTGAAGGAGTTAGGCTGTGTTTGCCCAGACCTACTCTGTGATCACTTTGAGTATATGATGAGGGGAGTGAGCCTGGAGGTGGGAAGGGTCTTGGGACACTGTTTGCCATAGAACCAGTGGGACGTGATGGAAGCCTGGTATAAGCAAGTATAAACGGGAATGGAGGGGAGCGGAGGGGTGGGAGCCATGCCAGGGGGTCCCGCGTGCTGGAATTGGTTACTGAGTGAGTGCAGGCCGTGAGAGAAGGTGTTGAGGGTAACTCTGGGGTCTCTGGATTGCTTGACTGGCTGGTTCGTGGTGTCATTCAAAGAGAGAGAGAGAGAAGGAGAGGATGGAAAGTTTATGGGAAAGTAAGTTTTAGGCTCATTGAATTTAATCTGTGGGGTTAGTGAGGTGGATATGTTTAGGAGACAGTGGCCACATGAGTCTGGAGCTGTAGGCTGGGGAGTCTTCCTCTCACAGTTGCTAATCCAGGGCTTGGGTTTGAAATCCCATCTGTAGTGAGTACCTCAACTACCCACAGGGGCCAGGTAGACGAGGAATGGTACTATCTTGGGATAAGAAAGGCAATAGCAAAAAAACAGATGTAGAAAACCCCCAACTGTGCAAATGTGAAATTAAAAGTCTTCTAACATTTGGTTTCAGCCTGTGGGATGCAGGGAACAGTGGGGAGCGTGACAAACTGTGGGTGCCTCAGAAGCTCAGTGCAATTCCAGATAATTTCTCAAATCAGAATTTGTGTATGGTATTACAGGATTTCATGATTTTTTCCACAAAAGTCAGACATTTTTATATTTCTGTAGAATTTCCTAAGAATCTAGATATTTCCTAAGAATAAAAATCTAAGAATATTGGCACAGTTAAAAGAAAAAAATCATCCTATAATCAAAGCAGAAGGTATCTGTGGGCCAGAGAGTCTGCCGTCACTTCTTGGGGCAGAAAGGAATGGATGTTCTGTGAGTACAGGTCCACGTCTCATTGAACAGAATCAGAACTGTGTATAGTTCTGATGGACTGAACTGCACGATCTCCAGCTTACAAACATCACAGACCTAGAAATTGCTTCTTAGGACTCTTTCAACAGTCTCTGAGGATCCCAGCCAGTAAAATCATTCTTTGGGTTGCTCCACTGTATTTTCTGTGTTTTTCCATCAGTCATGCTACAAGGCTTATCTCTTCTAGGCAGGAAATGAGAGTCCCGTTGTCATGGCTGAGAGTTCTTGGGTGTGTGTGTTACAGTGGAGAAGTAGGAGATGAAGGAGATTTCCTTCTAGAATCTCAGAGTCTTTGTGCTAGAAAACACCTTAGAGACTTTTTGTACCAACTGCTTATTTTACAGATAGGGAAATGAGGCTTAAATAAGTCAATGGCGTAACTGATATCACAACCCTGCTGTTCTCATGTTCTAGTCGAGTACGTCATGCTACCTAACACCATGTATGGCTTCCCAGGTGGTGCTAGTGGTAAAGAACCTGCCTATCAGTGCAGGTAGAAATAAGGGACGTGGGTTCAATCCCTGGGCTTGGGAAGATCCCCTGGAGAAGGGCATGGCAACACACTCCGGTATTCTTGCCTGGAGAATCCCATGAACAGAGGAGCCTGGCGGGCTATAGTCTATAGGGTCACACAGAGTCAGGCACGACTGAAGTGACTGAGATTCATGCAACACCATATGCAAAAATTAACTCAAAACAGATTAAAAAACCTAGATGTAAGACCAAAACCATAAAACTCCTAGAAGAAAACATAAGCAGAACACTCTTTGATATAAATCATATCTCTTTCCTAAAGCAAAGGAAATGAAAGCAAAAACAAGCAAGTTAAACCTGATTAAACTCCAAAGCTTTTGCACAGCAAAGGAAATCATTGATAAAATGAAAAGACAACCTACAGAATGGGAGAAAATGTTTCCAAATGATATAACTGATAAGGGGTTAATATCTAAAATATACAAAAAGCTCATACAACTCAATATCAGACAACAACTTAACTAAAAAATGGGTGGAAGACTGAGATAGACATTTTTCCAAAGAGGACATGCAGAAGGCCAACAGGCATATGAAAGATATTCAACATTGTTAACCATCAGAGAAATGTAAGTTAATAAACTCTAGAAATGATCCCTGAAAGTGTAGTCTTGAGAAATGCAAATTTAAACCACAGATAGCACCTCAAGCTGTCAGAATGGCTATCCTCAGAAAGAGCACAGATAACAAACGCTGGTGAGGATGTGGAGAGAAGGGAACTGCTTGTGCACTTTTTATTGGGAATATAAATTGGTGCAGCCACTATGGAAAATTGTATGAAGGTTTCTTGAAAAATAGAACTACCATATGACCCAGTGATTCCACTCCTGGGTATATGTGAAAAAAAATGGAAACACTAATTCAGAAAGATACATGCACCCCAATATTCATAGTAATAGTATTTATAGTCGCCAAGATATGGAAGCAAACTAAGTGTCCATCAGTGGATGAATGGATACAAAATATGTGAAACACACACACACAATGGAATACTGCTGCTGCTGCTGCTAAGTTGCTTCAGTCCTGTCCGACTCTGTGTGACCCCTTAGACGGCAGCCCACCAGCCTCTGCCGTCCCTGGGATTCTCCAGACAAGAATACTGGAGTGGGCTGCCATTTCCTTCTCCAATGCATGAAAGCGAAAAGTGAAAGTGAAGTCGCTCAGTCGTGTCTGACTCTTTGCGACCCCATNGAAAAGACCCTGATGCTGGGAAAGATTGAGGGCAGGAGGAGAAGGGGATGACAGAGCATGAGATGGTTGGATAGCATCATTGACTCAATGGAGATGAGTTTGAGCAAACTCCAGGAGACAGTGAAGGACAGGGAAGCCTGGTGTGCTGCAGTTCATGGAGTAACAAAGAGTTGGACACAACTTAGCAACTGAACAAGAACAAATAATCTACAGGGA